GGTAATTTTATAATTCGCATTTTTGCTTTAAACATTTCAGTATGATTCACTTTTAAGTTATTTCAGTTATGATTCGGTTCAAGTTATTAATTATGTCTTATATATTCTAAATAATTTGCTTAAAAAAAAGCAAATTCGCCGAATATTTATTTTTGAATTAGTCATTAATAAATTTTGAAAATTTGTCATGCATCGAATCAATCCATTGTAACTTCAATGAATTAGCCTGAATAGGTTAATTTAATTTAGTCCGCATAATCATCCGTAAGGAATTCCAATTATGAAATAAATTGCTCTATGAAATTATAAACGGCATCAAATTTTTATCCATTTCAATTTATGAAACGTTGAAATTTGTAAAGAATTTATAAGTGTTTGATATGAAATATTGCTATCACAATACAATTCATTGAATAATCAAATTTAATTCTAACAATACAGATCAGAGTTTGCAGTTTTCTATCCGATCAATATCAAATTATTAAATTTTGACTTCTTTCGTTTTTTATAACGCTTGTTTGCAAAAATAAAATAAAAAATCCAAAAATTGAAGAGAGGAGAGAGAGAAATAATTGAGGGTAAAAAGAATTATTACTATGAATATTATTTTCGGAAGAATCAGAAAAATGGCATAAATTTGCATAATTATGAGTTCCACTGCACTCATCTCAATTATTTGTCATATAAATTAATTGATGAAATGTATGTTTAAATATATTTCTGTATGTGTCTGTATGTGTATGTGCATGTGTGTGTGTGTGTGTGTGTGTATGTGTGTTTTACCGCTTATCAACTTGTCAAAATTCTAAATCCACTCCAATTCATCCCCGCTTCTTCTTCTCCCTTCCCTCTCCGCTATTTCCTTTCATTCTCCGCAGCTTTTTTGCTTTTTCTTTTTTCTCCACTCATTGTTTTTTTTGTCGCACTTCATATTTGTTATCTTACGGACTAGGATTGAATACCAATCATATGAAAGGAGACAAATCCATCAATTCATCATCCAAAATACATCCTACCTTTGATGTTTACCGATGAACTGTGCTAAGTTCATCTGTAATCATAACAATAAATTTGTGTAAAGACAGAGAGACAAACACACACACTCACATATATATCATTCTGTATAAATTCTTCGGCATTGTTATTTGTTTATTTCTGCCAAAGCAAGAAAAAATGAATTTACTGAAATTTTGTTATATAATAAGTTAGGATAATCAAATGATCGATTATTAGAATGAAAATTTTAAAATACGAAAAAAATGCACGAATAATTGTACATTCAAGACAGAGTAACAGTTAAGAGAAAGAGAGAGAGAGAGGGGGAGGAGGGAGAGAGAAAGAGGGAAGGAATCATTTCTCGAAAGATATTTGAGAATATGGTTATAGAAACATTACTATATATTATTACTAAAAATTTTATGATATGAAAATAATCATCAAAAACATGAAATAAATTATCTTTTCATAAAATGTCTTCTTACAGGAATGATTTTTAATTGGAAATTTTATCAAAATTTGTAAATCAAAATATTAAAATTTTTTTTATAGTTTAGTTAAACATTTCATCCAAAATTAATTTCTCATTGGTTAAAATTTTTTGCATGGAATTATTTGATAGTATAATTAATATATTCATTTTATCAATTTGTTTATAACATACATACATACACACACATACACACAGAGACTGACAGACATATATACATACATATATGTATATAAGAACATTATTATATGCTACAGAATTCTGCATAGGGTTATTGGAATGCAATGACAACACAGCATCATCCAAATCCTATTGGTTGTTACATTCATAGGAGGTGGGGGAATGGAAGTAGGAGGAGGAGGAGGAGGGGGAGGAGGAGGAGGAGGAGGAAGTAAACAAGATAGATTGGACACATACACATACAAACACACACACACACACATACACATACATTACTCATAATAGTGTTTGTATGTATGTAAATGCATGTGGATGTATGTGAGTGGGCGAAATGTATGTATAATTTGTGGGTGTAAATGAAATGGTATTGCATTGGGAATTGAAATCATTTATTATTCGATAGTAGTTGAATGGATGGATGGATGGATGGATGGATGGACGGATGGATGAATGAATGAATGATATTTGGAAAAATGATGACGAACTGATTTGTCTATCAATTGGCTGTGTTCCCTGCCTCATTACTTCACAAAACTGTCCCATCATCCTTTTTCCATCATCTCATCATTTTTCAAACTCTCAAATATATCTATTTGCTAACATACCGTAGTCATCACATCTCATCAATTCACTCTTTTTTTTGTTAGATTCATTTTTAAGCAATCTTTTTCTTCATTTTTCTTTTTATTTTTCCGTTTTTACGATGTGTAAATTTTGCTAGAAGTGAGTGTTGATTTTTATTAAAATTTATTTAATATTATTTGGAAATATTATTTTGCAGAAGGATGAAAGAAGAATGAAGAGATTAGAAAGAAGAGGAATGAATGAGGAGGAGAACATAAGGATTGTTTATAATATAGCAGCTGAGCCCGGTTAAATTGCAAGCTTAGAAGTGTCAGCGAGTTAAGTTAGTCGGGTTAAATCGGTTGGATCATCCTGATTACCCGTAACACAAAGTGGTATTAACTTTCAAGTATGAGCGGATTCATTCGGAATGAGAAAGGCCAAAAATGATTTACTCGTTGCTGCTACCTATCATTGTTACCAAATTTGCCAAATACGAGAATTGTTTAATCCAATTAAGGAATTTGTAAATTTTTGTAAAATTCACTAGAATTAAATACTTTAACTCGCCCACTTTAGGAATAATATTGACATTTGTTCTTTTTCACTTACTTTAATGCGTCAATTTAATATGTACATAATTTGTCCTCTCCTTTACCTTACCTTACCTTGTCTTATCATACCTTACTCTATCCTATTTTACTCTACCCTTTTCCCTTTTCTTCATTTTTTCCTGTTTTTTTTTAATAGACAACACTAATCTTACTGGTCTTTTTCTTGTCAATATCAAATGGTATTCTTTTCATATAAGCTCATTTAAGCGTCATTTAAACTTATTATATGCCACTTCGACAAATAATACCTCTAACAATAACAATGAAAAAAATAAGAGAGAGTAAATCTTCTTTGAATAGGTTAAAGTTAGATTTTCGGCTCTTATAAAATGTTTTAATAACAGATAATGCTAGATTAGTATCGAAAAAGTTTCATTCAATTAATTCTTTGGTTAAATACTTCTAATTTTTCATTCGTAATCAAATATGAAATAAAGCAATAATCATTTAATTTTCAGTACTTGTTTGCTTTTCTCTTTAAAAAAAAAAATTAGTCATTTATTTGTTGCTTAAAATGTCCTCATTTTGACGAGTTTTTTTTTGAAATTTTTTAAAGTAATTAAATTTATTTTAATAATATCAAATAAGACCAGATTGATTAAAGAATATTTTCATACAATATTAATCACAGCTCATTTTTAGAGGAAAATATGTTGTTAAAAGAGCGACTGCTTTACAATTTATGTGATTTATAGTTATTCAATTACATGACTTTTAGTTATTCAATTATATTGCTTTTCCCGTTTTTTTTCATTGCAAATATGTTTGGGTCAAACTGTCAGTCTTTGTCAAAAATAAACTTATTTGAAGCTAGAACATATACAACATCAAATTGCATCCTTTGAAATAAAATTACGGTAGAGAAAATAAATTGTCATAATGGGCGCAGATGTCTCTGATGATTAAGACAAACTAGTACAGTGCATTAAATTTTATATCATTTATGTTTTTTATGTCATTGAACTGTTTAATCAAATTGACGTACTTACTAAATTGCTTGATCAGTTACAATATCATTTGAAATATTACAAAAACTTATGCTAATCTTTACAATTTTTTGTCATTTTTTGATTGATTGCAATCTTTCTTTTTAAATAAATTTTGACATAAATTATTCGATAATTACTGCAACGATACTGTACCACACGTAATAAATTGCCAGGTCATCGAGATACAGTATCCTATTCCACAGTGTACTAACTGAAGTTATCTGATGATGATGATGAAGTAGTAGTATTCATTTAAATTCTCAATTTTCCAATTATAAGAAAATATTAAGTGATATTGCTTCAGTATTATTTCTTCAGTATATTTAGTATATTCAATATATGCTTCAGTATATTATGTACAATTATCAATATCATTTCATATGTACAATTGCTATCAAATTATTAATCATTGTATTTTTATTTTTAAATTCAGACAACTTTTTCGAGAATATTTGTTGTCTACACACTTAGATTATCTTGTGAGTTGCAAATGAAAGCAAATAATTATTTACGATAATTATAAGGAACAAATATTATCATAATTATTCTTTTTTTTTAATTGCTCAACATTATTGTTATATCAATTATAATTTTTAAACAAACTAAAGAACGGATAAAAAATGGATCACTGAAAGGTTTAATTTTTTTGACATGTTTATCTCAAGATTTCAAAATTTTCCAAAGTCCATTTCTATCCCAAATAATTAATGAAATGTTAAGGAATGAAATTTTTTTTAAGTGTCTGCGCATTTTCTACCGTATCTTGAAGACAATTAAATGCTTTTTACTTAAATTGCATCATTTAAGTTAAAAAGTTTTCGGATAAAAATTACAGTCATTTTTTCCTAAAGCAATTACTATTTTCAGTTTTAGCAAAAAAAGAAAGAATCAATAGTGTGAATAATTTTTGTGGTAATTTACATATGCATAATAATAAAAGGTAATTAGAACTATTCTGCAAACGAAATAAAATTTTGGGCGCATAAGTACAAATGTCAGTTGAGTTCAGTAAAGTCAGGTTTCAGATTCCGGTTTCCTGCAATATAATTCTATTCGTTGTTGATAACATAGCAACATTTGAATTTCCTTTATTGCAATTTCATACGTTTTCATTACATTACAATTCAGATTATTTGATAATTCTAAAGTCTTTTTAAATTCTAGCAAATGTCATATATTCCAACGGTAAGCGTAACCAGTGCTGCCGCAGCGGCAAATATGAGTTCTGCTGCAAATATGGCTGCTGCGGCATATTTCAAAAATGGTGCATACGCAGCCGCACCGCATATGTCAAGTGCAGCACTTGGTTTTACTGCAACACCAGCGCATAATTTTTTACCCGGCGGAATGAGTTATATTGGAAATTCGCTAGCGGATTGTCAAACGGCTGGAATAACAGCTTGGAATGCTAGCCAAGCAGCAAGGTTGGTTTTTCCTTTTTTCCCGTTCCTTATCTTTCGAGAAAATTTATTTCCAATTGCACAGTATTTACAGTAGTAATATCTTAATATTACCTGTCACTTAAAATTATTATGACAGCATATTAATTAGAATCTTAAATCGATTGACTGAAAAAAATTTAACTCTTTCAGCCATACATTGCTTTTAAAATTTCATTTGTCCATCAGATTATTACTAATTTCCTTGGCGTATTCTCATTAGATACACAATAAGGTATCTTGTTTTTTTCATTGAAGCTTCCTAAGATTATTGCTTGTGAAACTTTAATCTCAATTTAACTACAACAAATTTTTACGATTATGGTACGGTATAGCAGGAATATAGACTACTATACATAATTGATACTAAAATATGATAGCTTTAAATGAAAGAAAACCAGTTTTATCATATTCATTTCCTTAATGGGAAAATAAACCCCTTCAGTTCATGAAAACGGAAATATATCATTAAGGATGATATGTCTTTAAATTTCACATATTATTTTGAAATACTATTAAAGTACGTTTCATTAATCTTAATTTATTAATAACGGATGTCCTTCTTGAGTTGGAATTTTCTGCAGAAAGTTGATACCGGAATCAATCTTCTCTTTAAAACTTTTCGGAAATTAAAATTACTCTTCCAAAAATTTTCATCACCGAAAATTATCATCTCTTTGAAAAAATTCTTATTTTTATTCAAAGCACAGAAAAAGTGAAAAAAAGGAAATTGATAGTTGTAACAAAATCATAGCTATTAACTATAATCTATTGGTTAATGTAATCTAATTTTATCCACTCATATGCAGCTTTTATATAATCCAATTGTGATTTTAATTATGACTAAGGATGAATTTTTCATAATAATTTTGTTTGGCAAAATAAAACAGTAATACCAGTACAGATTGAGAGTGATTGATAATTTTCCTATTTTGTCATTTGCTTTAATTTGAATTTCAGAAAGCAACGTCGTGAACGAACAACATTTACACGAATACAATTAGAAGTTTTGGAAAATTACTTTTCCAAAACTCGTTATCCGGATATATTTATTCGTGAGGAAATTTCATTGAAAATTCAATTACCAGAATCACGCGTTCAAGTAAATTTAAATTTAAATTCAATTAAAATTCTGCGTTGAATTTTTAGTTTTTTCTTTTTTCTACATCTTTTTTTGATTTCTACTTCTTTTAATTATTATTTACCAATTGGTTTAATAATTCAGTCGGATAATTTCCTATATGATTAATCGTACAATTTCATTTCAGGTATGGTTTAAAAATCGACGTGCCAAAGCTCGACAGCAAAAGAAAGCGACAAAACATGAAGTTGCATTGCATGTCGTTCCGGCATGTAGTAATGATGGTAGCTCATCCAGTAAAACTACTTCTACAGATATCCGGAATGCCAATGCTTGCAATGTTGAGGTTTGAATGAACATAATGTTTTAATTTAAATATCTAACATAAATACCCAATATTAAATACCTAATATTATATTAAATACCTAATATTTGTATACCAATTGGAAATAAAAATAAAATTATTTTATTAATAAAAAATTTTTTTAGATAAAAACAGAAAGAAGCGAAACAGGTACATCAGAACAAAGGACTTCACCAATTGAAATTGATTCATCCAAGCTAACCGTCTTGCCGGCACCATATTTTGGTACCATATCATCATCAACAGCATATGCATCCCAGGCAACTTTTCCGCAAGGATATGGTAAGTTTTTATTTTCTTAAACTTCAGCAAAAATTGAATTAATTTTTAAAGCGTAGCCAAAAGATGAATAATTAATTGATTAGCCTAAGGCAAAGACGTTTTTTTTACGAATAGAGTAGAATGTTTTTAAAAAAAAATGATTAGTCTATTTTATAGTCTAATGAAGATTTTTTCGTTTTTATTGACTGATAATTTTTCATTTTTTTTTTATTTTTTGTTTTTTTTTTCCTTTTGATGACAGTTTTATTTGCTTATGCTATGTGAAAAAAAAATGGAAGAGAGAAAAAAAAAACTCGATTACACGTCAGTGTCAGTAGTTGTAGGCTACGGAGGTTATCAGGCTACTGTTCCAACACCAATGGAATATTTTCAATATCCGACCAGTGCTGCAACATATGCTGCAACTGCCGATCCATGGAAATTCATGAACCAGTGATTATAATTAATGATATTTATTTATGATAATTTTTAGTTGTAATATTTTTTTTCGTTGGATGATTTAGTGATATACAAGAAGTCGTGAAAAATGATCATTTGCAAATTTTATATGGCAATTTTGTTTCTGACTATTTTATACAGTAATTTGTAAATTGATAAGAATGCAAATATCATTTGGTATGCGTCATATAGTAAGTTGAAGATTTATCAGATAAGATAAATGATTGGTATTGGAGGTATTTGATAAACCTTCGATGGGTGAAAGGAATGACCTCAGCAGGAATGGAATTGTAATGGCTCAGCAAAATTATCCTACCGTAGGCATAAATTATTATAATTCTGCAATCATAATAGAATACGAATCAATTGATTAGATTTTATTGGTATCTGTGATAGAGTATGATAGATGATAATGCAGTTGTCTCATTCCATGTTTACTCTATTTTGTTTTTTTCGTCATCAAATTTTTGAAAATAATGTATTTATCAATTTTTGAAACAATACTCTTACTGTAGGCAATATAAGTTTAACTTAATTCCTAATTTCTCTTTCTTTTCATATATTCACCATGTAAGTTAGGCGAGTTTTTTTTTTCTTTGAAATTTAATTATTCAAAGTTCGAATAATAAATTTAAATCAATAAATTTTTTTTACGATTATCTATAACATTTTCTGTGATAATTCTGCTTGCCATTTTAGTGCTTTCAAAAAATTTTCAACTAATCTTGAATAGTAAGTAAAATTTTTAAAGCAACCTATTCTTTTATTTAGAGGATGGATAATAGTTATGTAGATGAAATAAATGTAAAACACTAAAATTGCACAATCTTAAAATGTTTTAGAAATTTAGGAATATATTCTTGATGAATGAAAACAAAATAAAGGTAAAATAAATTATTTGCAAAAATATTCATAGAAATATATCAATTTTCATTCTTTTTTTATTTTGCAATGAAAAAACCAAAACAAACGTATATTTTTTTTACTTAATGAAATAATTTGCCAAATTTGAAAAAAAAAAATTCATTCATTCAAGTGATTAACAGAATTGATAAATAAATTTTTGATTCATATCATTTAGAAATAATTTCAAACTTAAAGATTTAAAACACCATATTAAAGTACATTTGTCTTTTCCTGTTATTTTTCAATTACTGTTTCAGATGCATTACAAATCTTCCCCTTTATCATAGATACTTTGTCGTACTGTGCCGTGTGATAAATTAAATTTTACTTTTTTTCTTTAAAACATTGCACTTTATTATTGTTCACAATAACATTTTTATTACTTAATAATTAAACATGATGGAAAGTTTTATTTTAAAAAAAATGCATTCCCTCTTTAGAGAACTTAATTAATGCATTATTATGGAACTTTATAGCTCACAACATCGTCACCTAAATCATTCAAAATTTATTGTCATATCTCAAGAACAGTCATCTTTCATTTGACCACTAATTTTGAATGAGTAAAAGTATATGCATATGTATATATATATGTATATATATATGTTTGGTTACTTGCACAATAATTTAATTTCTTCTGTTACAGTAAATCAAAATAATAATAGTAGCAACAAACAAAATAAGAAAAAAATGCAAAATGTTTTTGTAAAAAATTTATTTTTTATTTTTGCAATAAAATGAAAATAAAAATAGCAAGTGGTTGCATTGTTTTAATTGAGACATTTGTAATAGGACGGTTGCAAAAAAAATTGATGACATTTGTAACATTTGTTATAGCTGTGGCGGCTATTGGCGCTTTTTATTTTTACTCTACCAAAGTATCATTTAATTTATTATATTAATTATAAATTTAATCAATTTTGTGCTCCATTCTTTATTTGAGTAATAATTTTTGAGTTTTTTTAGAAATTTATTTATTTATAGCCAGCATGCCGAGAAGCTGTCAACAATTGGTCTGTTTTAGCATGTGATGCATTACAGGAAAAAGTTATACAACCATCAGTAAAGCGAAAGGTTAGTTTTTACAACCTGATAAATAGTTTAAAAATTTAGCTAATCATTTTAGAGTATGTAAAAATTGTCCGATTATAAATGTTATCTGTTAATTAGCTAATGAGTGACTTTAGATAAGTTATTATTTATTAAGATAATTTAATTTTATAACGACTGTTACCAATGGTGTGGTGAATTATAGGTGCAGGTAGTTTAAACATTATTAATTATTGTCAGGTACAAAAAAATCACCTTAAAAATATTTACTCTTCCATAACTATAAGGAAGATTACTCAAGTAGAAACTAAAAATTTAAGGATAGTTTGAATTAATTTGTGAACTATTTAATGGCAATTTATTAATTGAAATCAAATAGTTATTGATAATATGATGCAACTTTTTTTCGTCGAATTGTTAGCCTTTTAGAACCAAAAAAAGCAAAATGGAAAATGGTATATTTAATTCATCATTTTAATTAAAATTTGCAAAGCTGGATAGTAGTCTATGTGATTAAAACTTAAAGTACATATCTTAAAAAATATTTTTAAAAAAATGAATAAATTTAGAAAGAAGTATCAGCTAAAGCGCTACCATCTGGCTCCACCGCAACATCCGCCACTACCGGAAGCCCATTGGCAACCGGAACTTCAGATGATGAAAAGCCGGGAGGTATGATTACCGCTCTTGGTTCATCGACGTTAAATCGAGAGGAAAGTCAACCTTCTGCTTTACGACCTGAAACAGCTGAGACCGATACTGCGCGGGAAAAAAAACTCACGTAAGTTGCACCATTCAAAAATAACTTTAAAAAATACTTTTTGATTTATGGTGAATCAATCAATTACCTACTTTTAAGCATCAAAAATCATTCATTTCATCATTATAGGGGTGAGAAGAAGAAAAAGAAAAAGAAGTCAAAGAATAAAAAGAGCAAAAAGAAGAAAAGTTCCAAAAGAAGTAAGAAGGAAGATAATGTAAAACATGTTGCATAGTCATTTTATTAAATCTTATTTCAAAATATTATAAACTTTAATTTTTGGAAAGAAAAAAGTGAGAGAAATTAGATTTAAGAGAAAAGACGAAAAATAAAAGAAGAAAAGTGCAATTTTTTTCTCATTTAAAACTGTCAAAAATTGTTAAACTTAATATTACAATTTTTTTTTTCAAAATTATCCAAAATTTGATATTATTAAATTTCAGGTAAAAAATCGGAAGAAATAATACCAGACGAACCGTAGTAAAATGGCTGAGAGATAATCCGCACACAGTATTTTTTCACATCACAAGATATGGCAGAAATGAAATCACTTATTCACATGCAAATTCTACTCAATTTAAATACTTATTGCTTACCGGAATTACATATATATATATATATATTCATACTTACTACATTCAAATCTTTTAGTATAAATGAATCGCAAGTGATTATTTAGAAATGAACTGATTATATGGTAATTAATTGTAATTTGTGCATGCTTAATCTTTTTGAAATATGCAAAATGACGAAAGATAAAATGAGCGTTTTATCGATAAATTATAAAATTTTTATATTTTATTTGAATTGCAATATTGATATGCTTATTGATGTGATTAATAATTACTGCTTCCTAATAAAGTTTGAAAATATTTGTAGAAAAATAAAATTTTATGAATAATTTTTTTTATCAAAACAAACAAATCTTCTTTTAATAGTGATAGAGGAATAGATTGTGTATTACAATATCATGAATTTCACATTCATTCTCTTCGTGCTTTTTTTTTTAAAATGATATTGCTTTTTAATTAAATGATATTGCTTTCTGCTTTTTTTTTTAATCGCAAAGAAAATTTCAATTCCCTGTAAATGAAATATGAAACTTTTATTTCTAAAGTAAACATCAAATAATAAATGTGAGCAATTAGGAATATTAAAGATAATTCATTCAAAACTGTCGTGTATGAGCTGAATTTTGAAGTATTGCTATGTAGGAATGTGATGATCAGAATTGTTATATAAAATATGCTTAATATTCATTTTAATTAAACGTTTCAGTATTTGCGATAATTCATTAATTGTTATTTTGTTTCGTCCCTCATACGAACAATATTTTATCATATCTGTCATACAGATTGCATGATTCTCGACAAATGGTTGAAGAGCCTAAAATACATGATTTGCATAATTAATAGCCTAATGATATTGATTTGCTTTCATTACTATTTTGAGCACATGTTTTCTGAAGTATAAAGTTCAAAATATTTTTTAAATTAAATCCTAGAATCACATTATTTCATAAATACTTTATTTTACCAAACTAAAATCTATTTTGTTATCTTACTTGTATTTTAAATCGAATAACTTATTTATGTCAAACTTATTACTGAACTATTCAATTTGATGTTATTTAATTCTATCGAATTTTCAACAGGATAAATTTTTTGAATTCCTTTAGCTGATTGATATTTTAATCAATATCTACAGTATTGATCAATCAATATTCGTTATTTATCTTATAAAATAAGCAATGAAGAAAAAAATAATGAATGCAAAGATTATTTTTTATGAAAATTAATTTTAAAAAATGCAAACTATTAATAAAACCTTTATAGCAAAATCAACTGGAACAGTTCGATTACCAATAGCAATACGTAATTTCTCGGATGCATTTATTGGATCTTTATAGATTGTTTTTATATTAGTAGTTATCCATTCGAATGCATCCTTGGAATTAAAATTTTAATGCATCAGTATTTATTCAATGAAAAATGAAAATTTTAATTTGAAGGATGTAAATTTTTTTCGATTCAAATATTGAATAGAAGTAATTAATGAAAGTAAAAGAAGGCGATAATAACCGATTCATATGATTTAAGTATTTGAGTTTCTGTGAAATATTTCTTAATTCTATTTAAACGTTCATATGTAAGTGTTGCACATTGTATTCTTGAAGATATTTTCTCCACAATTTCATCAATTTTATTCGTTGTTGTTTTGCTTAAATATATATCTGCATTTTGGTTTCTTTTTTTTATCAAATAATTAATTTTCTTATAAGAAATAATTAATTTTGCAATTAAAACGTTTGTGAAAAAAGAAACACTACATGAATAAGGTAAGGACTCTTTCTTATTGCATCTTTTAATTTTTTAGCATTCCTACATAAAATGATCTTACGATAAAAGTTTTGATAAAGAAATTTGCGATATTTTAATCTAAAAGAAAAAAGTTAAGAAAAACTCGCAAGATCAGAGCTAAAGAAAAAAAAAAGTCCTGAAGATTTCAGGCACCACTTTATACTCCTATTGTATTCATCCTTCATACTGCATTTCTAATCTATCTGAATCCTAAACATGTTTTATATGATCTTAATTTTTGCTCAAATTAAAGGCAATAAAAATGACTTATACATGGACGTAGAAGTTGTTGAAGGATTAATTTCCGGTGTTGCAAAAGATGGACTTCCCTGAAATATTATTTCATAATTAATAATACAGAATAGTAATAATAACAATAACAATAACAATAATGATAATGATAATAATAATAACAACAAAATTATTGTTATTAATTATAGCATGCAAATGAAATTTAAAAAACTACAGTGAAATTAAAATATTTTGTAATAAATTGTTAAGTTTTATTATTTTCTATCTCCATCAATATAATTAAAGAAAACCTTGACATCAATAGCATTCACATCCAAAATTTCACATGATACTTCACCCTCTCGAGATGGACCTGCAAGAACATCCAAATTTTTTTATATACGAAAATAATTAATGCGATTACATATTTCTTTATTTCTTTAAAATTATTATTCATTGCTGATAATTTTTGTACAACTAACCCTAAAAAAAAGAATAAAATCCTTTTTTCTGGTTTCAGATTCCCATTAATGTAATTTTTGTTTAAGATTTTAACTTTCAAAACTGCCAAGGGATAATATGAAATTAATTTAATGCTATCACAAATATTTATTGGTGTAATTTCTCCTATAATTTTTTTCCATATTTTAATTTAATTTGATAATTAATAATATAAATTGTTCATATTGTTAATTTTTTTTAAATCTTTAATCATTTCACAATTTTGCATCACGCAATTACATTATGATGAAAGAATTTTTTAGCAAATTCAAAATTACCATCAAAATCACATTACTAATTAATTAAAACTGAATGATGCGACGTATTGAAATTCTATGCAATGGATGATGAACCATTTATTAAATCAGTAATGATTGCAAAAAATCATAAATCAATTTTCAGTAGACAAATCAATACTAGTTAATTAAATTTATCATAAATCAGTTTCAGTAGACAATGAATACTAGTTAAATATTTTTTTTTAGTAAACATTCAATGCTAATTAAATGTTAATTCTGAACATTTTTGAAAAATTTTTATTGCAATAAACTTTTT